ATTCCCCTATATTCGCTATGCGGGTAGGTGCCGCCAAACAGAGTATGGTTTTCAGCGATTTTAGTCTGGAACAGGGTATATAAAATCGCGCTCGCTCTGGAACAGGGTATATAAAATAGACTGTCTTCACGCATTCTCTGATAAAGTAAACCCTTTACCCCCGTCATTGGCGCGCTTACTATTTTAGGTGACGTCAACTAAATATTCATATATTAGATGTAAAGTTAGATAAATTTATCTAACAATTAAACAGTGTGACTAAATGTTAAACACGACATACTACAACACAAAAGGTAATAGAAAACACGGAATAACTAAAGAGGGAAACATGAATAACTTAAAAGGGAACAACTTGAAAAAGAACCGGGAAATGAAGTTGATTGAGAACAGGAAAAACGTGTTATGTATCCACAGGTAGCCCAAGCTCTGTTTCTTTAAATTAAGTAGTTATTAAACCCTTGTTTAGCGCTCATCCTACCCCCTTCTTTATCAAATAATGATCAAAATAAAGTATTGATTTGACCCATTTTTCTTATCTTTTCATTTATTACTATTATTTTTTAAATTTATTTCATAGAATTTAGCATGAGATCTTTAAAAAGATGGGAAATAAATTTAATCAAGATTTAAAACACGTAAATAAGCCTAAAAACTGTACGTATTTATATAATCAGGGAAGTCACTGCTTTTGTCAACAATTTGATATCAAAATTATGGCAAAGTACACACAGCGTTCCCACGCTATCAATCAAATATCGATTTCTTTCGTCGCCGTCGTCAGGGGCAACCAAGAAAGAATCCCATAATACTCTTGAATACGGGGAAGAAAATATGGAGTCGATGAAATAAAACGATACATCGAACATGTAAAGTCGTTCTTGAAGTGTTTTAGGGCCAAGAATAGTGCTTTTTTCTTGCTGCTTCACATGAAAAGGATATCGTATAAAGGTATGGTATGATTTTTGTTTGGAAATGAGGAAGTTCAATGGGAATTTTTTCGGGTCGAAGTTGAGCGTTCTAGTGCGTTTTTGTCGAATGAGGGTCGTTCTTTGTGTCGCGTAGGCTGAACTTTAGAGTAAAATTTCCCTTTATTTCAATGAACTTCCCTCTGGAATCGTTCGGAATTTCCTTATGTATAAAAACATTTCAATAATGAACTTATTCGCCAGCAAATTCTAGGTAATGTCTTCTGCCTAAGACAGTCTAGTAAATAATACATGACGACATGAAACTTGGCCTTGTTGTCACCCTTGTGTCAAAACATGGCCGCTCGATTTTCTGACTGAAAAACAAGAGCGGACACTCATAACGCTCTGAAAACCAGAACTCTCTCAATTAATAATGTATGGTTAATAGGTGTAGCTATTTTACATGTTAGATATCTTCAAATTTATTCCCTTGCTTTTAAACTTTATTTATTGGGGTTTTTCTTTTCTCACAAAGGACGAACACAAAGGACAAACAAATAAATCGCTAACAAGGCCATGAAATACGGCTTTTATTTTGACAATGTCAGTTGATGCGAAAGAAAATTTGTATTAGTGATAAATTTGTAAACAAAGATTTTTTTATACATAAAAAAAAACCAGTGACTTTTTTTTTAACTTTCAGACCAGCCAGATCATTCATCATGTCTTCTAATCCTAGCAGCGCCAAGTCCGAATTTATTGTCGGAGGAAAATATAAACTCATTCGTAAAATTGGAAGTGGTTCTTTTGGTGATATTTATCTGTCCGTCAATATAACTAATGGAGAGGTTAGTAACTGTAGAAGTGTAAGCCTTGATTCTCTCCGTTTTATCTTCGTAAGATAATTTTACGTAACTTATAGCTAGGTTTGGGGATGTATTCTATTATATTTTTAATCCGTGAAAGTCATTAAGAAAAATTACATAAGTTTATTTTTTTCTTCATGATTTGAATATTCCAAATTGCTTAATCAGTATTGTAAATGTGAGTTTTCCTTCTTCATTAACTTCTTAATGTAAGATTTACTCCTTTTTTCCCTTTTTTTCTTTTTCTTTTTTCTTTTTCTTTTTTTTTTTGTCTTGGAACCTAACTCATAGTTATGTAACATACATTTATATCCCTGGGCCCAGTTGTATGAAAGATGGATTGCACTGTCCAACGGATGATAATATCCTGTAGATGCTGTATCCAATAAATTTGTCCATTGGATAAGATTTATCTGTCGGAAAGCACCCAGGGGCTCTTYCTAGCCTTATTCCAAAATCATATCCGTTTCTTTACTGTCTGTATGGGCATCCTCTTAGCACTTTTATTCTATTCGTATTTTATTTACAGTAATTCTCACAAACAATTTTATCAGGATAATAAGAATTTATATAAATTATTGGACATAATTGACAATCTCTTTTTTCAAGACAAAGTTTTTATTCCAAAAATCATTATCAATTGGCAGTTATAAATAATTGAATAAAAATCAAGCCTTGCATAAAAATACATTAATCTATTGTTAGAATGCATTATTTGGCAACTTAATTATCATCTATTCATTTTGTCTCAAAATTTCAAACTTTTATATCATTCTAATGCACCCTTCTTAAAATTGTCTTGAAAATTTCTAACATGGAAATACAAAATAAATGCCACAAATTCCATCGAGAAAAAGTGTGATTTGTTTTGTATTTTCATGTTAGCCTCCAAACTCCAAATTCCAAACTTGTAACATGGATTACAAAATTCATTCCCTTGATTATTATTATTTTCAATAGTCCCTTTCCTCATTCCATAAATACTGCTGTGTTTTAAGACTGAAGACTCATCTCCGCAGGCTTAGCCTGGCTTAAGAGTAAATCATTTGTAAATTTCAACGTTAATGTAAAGAATGTACAGCTTGAACTATACCAGTGTTTTGAAATTCCACGGACTTTTTTTGGTATTTGTGAATAGCTGACTTATAAACGAGGCTAAGCCTGTGCAAATGAGTCTGTAGTCTTCAAAAACAGCGATATGCATTGAATGTGAAATTGAATGTGGTGTATTAACACTTTTTAAGAAATTGATTCACTTGACCAGCATCTTTGTAACACCGAAGAAATCTATATACRCCCAATTTCTAATGCTTTATATATGAGTTCCTGGCTTAGGAGAATTGAGCAACAGCTCCTCACATTATTGAAATAAAATAAATTGACTTAACCCTTTTTATGTCTTCTAGATATTCATCCCTTAGTGACAAGGAAGATTTAAAAAACTACTGAAATTAATACGAATGTTTTCTAATTTATCAATTGTATGTATTGTTCTGTCTTTGAAGGAAGCAGCTGTCAAGTTAGAATCTCAGAAAGCAAGACATCCTCAACTTTTATATGAATCCAAACTGTATAAAATTCTACAGGGTGGTATAGGAATTCCTAAAATCAGGTACTTTATTTGTTGTTATCAAACTCATTAATAATTCATAAGGAAAACACAACTGAAGTCATGACTGTGAAGAGTGTTGTAAATCTGATACAAAACTGTGTTCATTTGCATAAACTTTAAGTTGGATTTTCTTGGCCAAATTCACTTTAATTTTGAAAATTTTAGTGAAACACAAAGGAACTAACCTAGACGTCATATACAGTCATATAAAGTATTCGTGTCCATGTTGTATCTGATATACAATCACTCGGCTATGCCTTGTGGTTGTATATCTGATACGACACTGCCACTCATACTGTATATATTACTTAATAGTTTGATTCATAATAATATTAGATAAAACCTCTCTTAACCTTGGGTATGACACTATCAACTATCAAGCAATGATTGGTTCACTCATTCAAAACAACTTACATTCTAGAGCACTATGCAATGTCTTATAGGAAGAACTAGTTAAATACCCCTTGAATTCTTGGGGTGCAACCACATGACTCCAAATCTCTTGAGATATGATGCTTAATATCTAGCGTTTTATTTGCATATTCATATTTTTAAATATAATCTATTTTATGGCTTCTATACATTACTATTTATTTAATTTATTTAATATTCATTTTAGTCCGGACCTCTTCAAAAATCACTGCTTTGATAGAGTGTTTCTGGAGCAAATCTTGTAATTTTGCAATAAAGATTATTATTATTATTAGATATACAGTGTTCTTACCAGGAATTTCTTTCCGGGGGTCAAAGGGCCTATCAATCCAAAATTTAGGGGCCATTTAGAAAACTGGAAAGGCCATTTCCAAAATCTTAAAACTAAGAATAATAATGTTTTTAGCCAGTAACTCTGTTGCAAATCTACAACAATGTAAGACAGTTTTATTAGTAATGATAACACAATAAAATTTCACTGGGCAGCCATACTTGAGCCTTCAATAAACAAGGTCAGTTAACACAGACTATTCCCAGATGTCTTGGCGAGTGAAATACATGTACAAGATGGCGGCTATGTTTGATTCGTGGCATTTCATGTGGACTTTCACCTTGTTATCGACAATATAATGAAAAATCGACAAAATAAGTAGGTTTTGGTGGWTGTCAATCAATGCGTTTCCATGACATTCCGTAGGCATGTGCCCTTAAAAGCGTTGTGTTTTCCGACAATGCTGGGAAACATTTTGATTGGCGTCCACCAACACTCTATTACAGTATGTTTTGAAAATTTTGTTCAAGATTTCATACGTGTGGTTGAGAAGCACTGTAACATATACATACACATATTTAATATACAGTCTGCTTGTTTATTTTTAGATGGTATGGTCAAGAGAAAGATTACAATGTACTAGTTATGGATCTATTAGGACCCAGTCTAGAAGACTTGTTTAACTTTTGCTCTAGGCATCTTTCAATGAAAACAGTTCTCATGTTGGCTGATCAAGTAAGTACTAAGGCCTAGGGCAAACGTCGAACTTTCCATGCACCGAACGTAATTACATCAAAGAATGCCGCCTCATTATCACCTGATATCCATTGTTTTTAATGAGTTCGTTGCATGGAAAGTTTGACGTTTGCCCTAGGCCTAAGATAACTTTAGTTACAGTAGGTACAATTTTAGACTTGAATAGGTATTTTGCATCAAACAGTCACGTGCTGATATATGACTTTGATAACAAATCAATTCAGCTCAGGGTTCCTTGGGGAAGGCTCTGCTGGATCGCAAACATTTTAAGTGGTTACCTAAGCATGAACCCTGTGTTAAATATTAATGAATGAATTAATCATATTGATAATCACAAGGCTTAAAATAATGGCTGGACATTGTCTGATGTCCGGCCAGAACTGGGACTTCTCCGGTCAATTCTTTGCCTTGCCGGTCATTTTAACCAGTATTGTGAGCCAGAAATGAGGCATGATATGACAAAGCTAAGACTAATTTGGCCTGTGTTCATGACCGGCAACTGATCTGCCGTTATTTTAAGCCCTGAATCAGTGGTAGTAATACGTTTTATTACACGTTAAGGGTCAATATCCTTGAAATAATGCGGTGAATAAAAACCATATCACTTCACGGTAAAAATGTACAATAAGATCTCGCAAAATATTTTAGCTTTGATCAATCAAAATTGACCCTAAATGTAAAATAAACATATAATCACATGTTAAGAGCCTGATATAGTATTTTTCACAAGTTTTTTGTAACATTGTGACAAGCGAGTCCTCGAGTGAGTGAGAGATGTTACAGAAAACTTGTGAATAAAAACGATATCAATGTCTATTTATTTTCTACCTATATGAGATGGCTCAAAAAACAGTTCAAACATTTACCATGTGCAATATTTGAAATCAATTAGGATGATATCAATTGATTACTGTAATTGAACTCTGTCTTTTATCAAACAGATGATTGGTCGAGTAGAGTTTGTCCATAACAAGAATTTCATTCATCGAGATATCAAGCCAGATAATTTCCTGATGGGAACGAATAAACACTGTAACAAGGTATGGACTACATGTACAGTGAGCATATTCTGTTCAAGGCCTCTACTACAACTGTGTTATACATATATGTTATTTACCGGCCAGGAGGTCCGGATAGGGGAAAACTGTGCCCGAGGTCATGAATATATGTTTTCAAGACCGAGGGCACAGTTTTTCCCTATCCGGACTGACTATAGGACGAAAAATAACTTATTTATTTTTTTCCCGTATTTTTTTTACTTGATTTTGTAATCATTTTGCTTTGTTGTCGAGCGGCAAAGGATACCGGACCGTGCGCGTGGGCAGATACTGACAAAATATTGCCCGCTCAAACAGCCAATCAGAACGCACGATTTTTTAAGATACCGGACCGGAAAAAAATAAACTATTTTTATTATATGATCTTGGGCTTTTCAAAATAAGAACTTGAGGTGACTGCCTACTATTGAAAGTTCAATTTGAGCCCATGGTATGTACATGAGCAAAAACTGCTCAAAACCACGAAACAACCTTAAAGTTTTTATTGAGGAACCATACATAACCATATTCACTTTGAACTTCAAAACTTCAAGAGGGCAAAATCCTCAAAATTTGCACAGGACTCTATTTTTTTTGCTCTATTAAAAAGTAAGTTTTTTGAGAAGAAATCTTCATTCTTCTCTCCCACTCGGCATTTTAAAGGAAATTTTTCCCTAATGATATTTTGCTCATTTACTTTGCACAGCTGTACCTGATAGATTTTGGCCTGGCCAAGAAATACAGAGATAGTCGCACAAAACAGCACATACCTTACAGAGAGGACAAGAACCTGACTGGTACAGCAAGATATGCAAGCATCAATGCTCATCTGGGCATTGAACAATCGTAAGTTTTTCTATTAATCGATTGGTGTACATGTATGGTTAAATAGTGTAAGATATTTTGAAAATAAGTTGTAGAATAAATTACTCTTAAAAATGCACTCCTCTCAATGAAAGCACATCGTAAGCCAGCCTCTGGCTGAAAGTTTATTTTCATTAATAGATAAAGCTTTTATTATTATTGTCACTATCATCATTTTCTTTATTATCATTATCGTTGCCATTATGTTTATCATTATTAYTATTGTTACTATCGTCGTCGACACGAGTGAAAAACATCTGCGCATGCCCTGAATCCGTATGTAAATTAGTCAAAACATAAGTAAATTTGACTTCCAAACATGCTTAAGTAATTGGACTTCACAAAATGCCAAAACTTAGTGTCCATGCTTGAAACTTAAGGCTAATTCTTTCATATTGTGTTTGTCAATACAGTATCTTGGTCTGACAAAAGCATACTCTCTTAAGTAATTGGACTTCACAAAATGCCAAAACTTAGTGTCCATGCTTGAAACTTAAGGCTAATTCTTTCATATTGTGTTTGTCAATACAGTATCTTGGTCTGACAAAAGTATACTCTCGAACTTTTTTGTATACTTGGAGAAAACAAACATTTATTTTCTCACTCCAACTCTTCAAAATTCTTAGAAAACGTGCTGAAATACACGCATGCGCAAACGTTTTTCTCTAGTGTCATCGTCATCATCATCATAATCATTGTGTATTTCCAGAAATTATCCATACCCCGTGAGGAGGAATTTTTAAGACCTCCCTATCCCCAGGAAATTCCAATTTTCTTCAATGCAAAATCTGTAACTTTGTTTTTTCTTGACCCCACCCCTCAGGAATTCCAAATTCCTCTGGGGGGGTGGGGATATGGATAATTTCTGGAAGTACATGTACGCATTATCATTTATAGCATTCATGCCTGTATGGCATGCAGTGAGTGCAAGTAACAGCCTTTGGGACATGGCTACTCAGAAGGAATCCTTTATTCAAACAACTGCATGAAAACTCTAACAAAACTCTCCCCCAACTTTCAATCTTCTCTTCTCAAGACTGAAAAAAAAAAGAATTTAGGACTAAGGGTCCGAAATTAACTTTTGAGCTAAGTGATCCTTTGAACAACCATGTTCTAATTATTCTTAGGCGTCCCGAGCAAAACTTACGAGTCCCACTTGGACGCCATTTTGTAGAGCCTGAATGACAATGGTCAGCGGTTAGCTATAATGCAGAAGATGCAATCAAATTTGTCAGCGGTATTCAATGGCTTCTGACGAATGCGTTATCTCGATTTTTGAAAGTTTATCAGTTGAAAAATGAACTTTCTAGGTTTTAAGCAGAAGAGATATAATTTAGAATTATATTCAGATTTTTTTTAAAAAAGAAAACACCTTGGCAAAAACGTAGGTTGTCAGAAGGACAACCAAATTCCAAAATCTAGTCGTCATTTGCAAACTTTAGTCGTCCCTGACGACTGGAGGACTGCTAATTTCGGGCCCTGGAACTATTCCTTACCATTGGAAATTTAATAATACTTAACTTAACATGCATTGAGTGAGGACTCTTTAATGAACCATTACGTCTGTCTGTCTTTATGACTTCCTAACACTTGAATTATGATTGACAGGCGTCGTGATGACATGGAGTCGCTTGGTTATGTTTTAATGTATTTCAACAGAAATAATTTACCATGGCAAGGACTAAAGGTACATATTACAGTGTATATACAAGCTGTTTATTCATTCTAACGTTATGGGTCTTTTTAGTAAACCATTGATATGGTCCAAATGCTTAGTTGGCCAAGTTTAAGGCTTTTTTATAATGTGGATATTAAGGCATGTTTCTGGATACTGGATATTATTTACAAAAGGTTCAGTTTGGGATGAGTGGATTGAGGTGTGTTCTGTCTACATCTGGATGGTAGGTCTGTGGGAGGTTCCAAATCCACTAGGTCATAATGTTATCCCATTTCACACCATGTGTCTTTCCCTTGAGAATAAGATTCTTTATTTGAGTTGTATGGATTCATGTGTCTTCTCATGTGCAAACAATAAACAAGGAAATGATACTCTAGGGAATGACATATGGTCTAAAATAGGAAAACAGTGGGTTAGGTCTATAGGTGGGGTACGATGACGAAATTTGTTTTGGTCGGTCGTTGTTTAAATTGCCAACAAGAAATCTATTGGACAATCCAACAAAGCAAGGTGACAAAACCTATTGTTAAAATAGTTGGCAGATTAACCTCACAATGGCACAGTGTGACGCATTTCATCTTTAGAGTTTGTCATTACAGCTGTATATCCACTTGTTAATAGCAAAACCTTTTTTCTTGGGGGGGGGGGGGGGGGGGGGGGGRGGGGATGCCCCTTTTGTTATGTCCCTGGTTTTGGGTTGAAACATTTCAGAAAAAACATTTTTTTTGAGTTTCAAATTAAAGACATCAAAGTTTACCTATAGACTCTTATCTTTGCTATTATTTATTTATTTATTTTATATATATTTATTTATTCATTTATTTATTTGTTTATTTGTTTGTCTATTTGTTTGTTTATTTATTTATTTATATTTAATGAATTAAATGTACATGTACTTGTAGGCTGCCACGAAAAAGCAGAAGTATGAGAAGATTAGTGAAAAGAAAATGTCAACCCCTGTAGAGGTCCTGTGTAAGGTATGTGACTATAGCTTGACTTAACTGTCTTACTTATCAAACAGTCAATAGACTACTGTATAGCTTGACCTACTGTCTTATTAAACAGTCAATAGACTACTGTATAGCTTGACTTACTGTCTTACCTATCAAACAGTCAATAGACTACTGTATAGCTTGACTTACTGTCTTACTTATCAAACAGTCAATAGACTACTGTATAGCTTGACCTACTGTCTTACTTATCAAACAGTCAATAGACTACTGTATAGCTTGACTTATACTGTCTTACTTATCAAACAGTCAATAGACTACTGTATAGCTTGACTTACTGTCTTACTTATCAAACAGTAATTATGTACAAAGGTTTATATTTCCTTAATAATGGAATTGTTTTTATTCCAGGGCTTCCCGGCAGAATTTGCAATGTATTTAAATTACTGCAAGGGTTTACGATTCGACGAGGCTCCAGACTACATGTATCTGCGCCAGCTTTTTCGAATCCTATTTCGCACTTTAAATTATCAGTATGATTACATTTTTGACTGGACGGCATTAAAACAAAAAGCGGCTGCTGCACAAAGTCTTACAAGTTCAGCCGTGACTACACCTGGTACAGCACAGTTAGTAAGTCAACAAAAACGTGAACCTCCCCGAGCTAGACGTAAGTAATAGCCTACATTTATAGACACGAGTGAAAAACGTCTGTGCATGCTCTGAATTCGTATGTAAATTAGTCAAAACATTTGTAAATTTGACTTCTTTCAAACATGCCTGATAAATTGGACTTAACTG